GGAACTGTTCGATTGGTTATTGTCGTGAAGTTGTTACTGTCTTGCGCTGACTATCAGAGAACCGTTTCTAGGTTATTCAAGTAAACGGCAAAAACTCTTTGAATACGGCAATCTGTCTAGTCTGTTGGAATTGCGTGGTTTCGCATGCGTAATCGCAAGTTCGCAACTGACTAGCTTCGATAACAGTATCTATCTGGCCTTTATCCATTTAGTTATCCGGTTCGGCAGCGGACAAGAGCCCGTAGCTAGCATAGCATTGCAAACGCCATTCCGTGGCCATACCAGATTATACTTGTGTGTACTGTACGCCTGCTTATGAAGCTACAGGTGGGCTTACGCCGTCGTGGCCCGTGAAGGCTCCAGTACAGCCAACTGTTATCGTGTGTAAGGTGTGGCCTCAGGCAAATACGGCCGACGTTGTCAGTTGAAATTTAATTTGGGCTCAAGCAGACACTGTTTGTATGGCCGCGGCAAACAGGCAGGTTGATGATTCGCCAGAGCGCTACGTATGCGCGTACGAACCACTTGTTTGGGTTTGGTGATAATACTGCCCGCTCGCTGTCCAGCCGTCAGTGATTATGAAAGTAAATGGGCGAGGCTTTCCAACGATGCGTGCCTAATCGTCCCGGCGGAAATCAGAGTGTTTAGCCAAGCACTGACTGCAGCCGTTGTGCTGTTTCTGGCGCAGTGAAGTGGTAGTGAGTAGTTTGTAACAAGAAGGGTTTTGACAGCTAGGCAAATGAAATGTCAACGGGCTTCGTAAAGATGAAACGGGTGGTCTCCCAGATTTTTATGCTCGAAACCTTGTCGTACTGTAATGACGCATTGAGTTTGTTAATGTTATGTGAAAGGTTCGGAAGCAGAAATTTTATATTCTGCAACATATATTTTAAATGGTAATTTCGCTAGCTTGCAGGTGTACGCTACTGAAGACGTAGTAGCAGGACTTGGCTTAAATACGAGATTCGTTTGACTGACATTGCACCAAAAATGCGCAACTTAATGGTCCTGGCATAGTCGCTATATTAGCTTGCTGCTTACTTGGTTTACCGGTCGCCAGACGTGGGTTGGCGGCAGTAAGAGGTTATGTTTTTCCACCGGCGTGCGTTTTGTGTTTCTTTGTGTACAGCCTAATGGAAAAGAAGTTTATGGAGATATGTCATAAAAAATTTTTAGGATAGGATCAGACCATGGGCGCAACTGTAGAGATACTGATTAGGATTTGGTGGTGATCCGGATCCAATTAATTAATTAATTAATTAATAACATTTTCAGGATAGGTCAGAAATGGGGTAACTTAGAATTGATTACATATTGGTGGTGATCCGGATCCAATTAATTAATTAATTAATTAAATTTTCAGGATACGTCAGAAATCGGGTAACTTAGAATTGATTACATTTAGGTCGTCATCCGGATCCAATTAATTAATTAAAATTTTCACAGTGACAGAATTCAGCTGCCTTCGCGGAGGTCTGTGCTCTCCAAGTGCTCTAGTTGAAACTATTTTAGCAAAGGTACCAGTCATGCAAATTTTAGCATTGAAGTTATTGCAGCCACACTAATATTTTCTCAGATATATCACAAACTATTGTGCGTGACTCGCGTTGCGGAGTACTAACACATGTATTGGAGTATACTTCACACTTTAGACTTTTCGTAGAATCTGTAGTTTGATCTGAGTTATACCTGGATCTGGTGAACTACGTACCCAATACCCTTGAGCACTCCGTAAATCATTTGCACTGCTAGAAACCTCTTCTGAAGTTCTCCGGGCCAGCGCGTATTTAGAGCGGTATAGCGCGTACACACTGCAAAAATTTGGCCCGTGACTAGTTTGATGTGGTATCAAATTTGCAGATTGTACGGGATATAAGGCATTTCCGGAGTGCAGCACATGAGGCCGATTGGGGTTGTGGTAGTGGTACCGGCCTTATGTGCATTGCTTTATACTCGGGATCGTGTATCAGTCGAGATGAGGTATATTGGTCAGAATGAGGTATCGATTGGATTAAGTTATCGGTCGGTAGTGGTAGAGTATGCGGTATCTGAGCCTCGGTCGAGCATAGCGACGTTGTAGCCATCTACATTTCCCCTGGCAACCTAGAACGCGGCCATCGATTTAACACTGTTCCGGTGGTGCACGCTTTTCAACCCGACAACTGATGTTGTCGTGCACTTTACTTGGAGACGCGCACGCGCGCGCACACACACACACGACCTACCGCGACATATAATAGCTGCATCTTTGTGGCATTCATAAAGCATTACCAGCGTGCGTTCCTAAACTGCCATCTAAGGAATAGTGCACGATATTGCGACGCAGATGCCAGACAGCAAGCAGTGTTAAATGTCATCTTGCGCGTACCTTCTGTCAGGGATCCCGATTATAGGCAAGAGTGAGCTGTAATAATAGCGCAGTAATTGCAGTAAGTGCAGTAAGTGCCGTGTGAATGATTATTGCCGGTATGGTTTCTTGCTGCGCATTATACTGTGATCAATGTCAACTATATTTCCAAGTACAGTGACACGGCACCCTCACAGGGGAGGGAATGATGTGCGCGCTGCACTACTCGTGTGTTACTGAGTGTACTAAAATAGTTTTGCACTTATTAGGGTGAGTAAAGAAATCGTGAGTCGTACCGCGTAATAAATGGCCAGAATAATGGGTGTACTGTATAGGGAAGACCAGGAATAATGGGTGTACTGTATAGGGAAGACCAGGAATAATGGGTGTACTGTATAGGGAAGAACAATGCTGTAGCAGGAGCGAAGGGGCTACCCTGGTAGAGCTAAGGGGTGCTTATCTCTGCTGTAGCAGGAGCGAAGGGGCTACCCTGGTAGAGCTAAGTGGTGCTTATCTCTGCTGTAGCGGGAGCGAAGTGGCTACCCTGGTAGAGCTAAGTGGTGCTTATCTCTGCTGTAGTGGGAGCGAAGGGGCTACCCTGGTAGAGCTAAGTGGGGCTAAACGCAAAATTCAACTTTTTTGTTCATAATAGGTATGCACGCACGCATTTGCCGTAGCAATTAAAATTGGCTAATCATGGTTGATCACACCATTCTCTGTGCTGTACCTGGCCTGAGAGAGTCTTCCTCCATTTACTTATTTAAACACCCACACATTTAATTAGTCTTAGGTAAGAGGATGTTGTGTCTGCGTGCCTTCTGCTAATGATGGCGGGAACCATGCAGTCTGCTAGCTTTCACCCTGAGCGCGCTTCTGACAGACTTTTTGTGTGGTGTCAG